GCAGACCGCCACGTAGACTTCGAGCCACTCCAGACGCACAAGTCCGAGAACACATGGCTTACTCTAAAGAGCTGAACGTCAAGCTGAGCTACGACGGCGGCGACGACAATAAGAGATGGGAACTTCGCGAAGCTCGCGGCTGCGCTCAAGACCGAGTTCCACGCCACCCCCTTCACAGACGCCGTCGACGCAGCTATCTCGCAGCGTCCCACGCAATGACGCACATGGGTGACCTGCTGGCCAGCTACGACTCGATGGCAGTTTGGGCGGACTTGACCACCGAGCTGCAAACGGCATGGCATGACGTGTTCGCTGCGACTCCGAGGGCGCTCCCCGAGCAATATCAGAGACTAGCTGCACATCGAGCGCAGGCGCCGCGGGAAAGAGGCCATGCGAGGGAACATATGGATGGCAATGCGCAGCCAGCCGTGGACACGCACCGGCTTGGCAAGCAGCACAAGAACAGGGTTAAAGTAATTCAGTGTGTTGAGCGGGAATAATTGGCAGACGAAACGCGAAGCACGCGCAAAGGGGCAGGCACATTAGTAGTGGAGAATATGCCGATTCATGGCTGGAGCGGGAAGTGGACCACGACGGCGCAACCCCCGGCAAATCCCAGAGAGCGCGCCTACGACGGAGCAGTGGGTGACGGACATGGCCAAACCATTTGCAGCAGGAGGGGCGGCTGCATGCGCGATTGACCACGAGCGCTTCTGCGAGAAGGCAAGCGAAGGCGACCCCCACCTTCCAATATCTTTCAAGGACGCCGAGGAAACCGCGATCGAATGTCAGCGCGCACTCCGCGGCGGCCCAGCGGAAATATGGGCGACATTTGTTTGTCGACGCGCCCACTGCCGATTTAGGCCGCCACCGCTGCTACAGGAAATGCCGAACCTTCGGTATTGGATCATCGGAGTGCCTGCCAGAGTACGACAGCGTCAGAGACTCGCGGTGGCGTGGAATGCTCCACAGACGTGGAAGGCATCAGAAGCGAAAGGAAAGGGCGGCACAGAAAGGAACGCGATTTCTACACTGAATTTGTGTTTTTGGTAAGGCACGGGCCAAGACGGCGGGCCGACAGGGGCTCGTCATCCCAGATCGCGGCTACAAGTATCTACCATCCAGATTACGTGCAGCAGCGAAAATGAGTTTCAGACTGCCTGACAGAATTTGGAACCACGACATGCAGAGCGCCTTTGCGTCGGTCTTGCGCCTCTAGCTTGACGGAGCAGTACGACGGCTACACAGAATGCGATCGGCCTCTTTGCGTTCAACAACGTCGACGGGCGTGTTTCCAGATCGAGTCAGGGGGCCAGGCCGTCACGATGCTGAATGGAGTATGAAGATACATGCAGAACTCGAACGCGGCGGTGGCATTCCAGGAGGTCTTCGCCGCGCCGACCAAGTGCCGGCAGACGTTGCACTGCGAGCGCTACCCCCGATGACATGATGGCGCACTGGCCACTCGGAGACGAGATGGCGGACCTGTCTCTGAGAGTCTTTGCGGGCGACGTCGGCAGGGCGCACGCCGCAGTCAACCCTGGCCACGCACTGGAGGCCGCGCAGCATCTGGACGCGAAGCTGAACGCTGCGCCTGGGGCGCTTTTCACGGGCGCCGGGGCCTCTCAGCCAGAGCGAAGCGAGGTGCGCGGCGGCGCGACGGGGATTGCACTTCATGGCAAGATGCTGGGCCACTTGCAAGCAGTGGAAGACCCAGATGACCGCCTTCAGGAGCGCGGTGATCAGGGCGGCTACGTCGGGCGTTGCTGCGCTCGTGCTCTCGGACAGCCAGCCTGCGGAGCTCGCCTCCCAGTGCCTCAAGTTCGAAGGGGTGCTACTCGATTGTGCTGCGATGAGGGTTTAGGTCGACGACGACATATTGGGGTGAGTGCAAAGTCTGCGCCGCTGGTGGGGTCCGCATGACTTAGCAGCTAAGTCATGCGGACCCCACCAGCAGTGCAGACTTGGCGCAGACTCAGGATGGTTTCGACCGATGTCGAGCCGCGAGTTCAGCGATCAAAGCATGGCGAGCTGTAGACAGGCAACCCGACTGGCGCAATCAGCAGGTCACGGCCGTCTTCGGGGACTTCGGTGGAGCTGGAAAAGCCGACGGAGTGCGAATTGTGCCCCGTCGGCAGCGTCGGGCCCCCGCTCTACTGCGGACGTCAAACCATGGGCTACGTCATTGCAGGAGGACATCAAGGACATGAGAGTAACAGGGGAGGGTCGAGCAGATAGTCGACATGCTGGAGGGCGGCTACCTCTTTCATTTGACACCAAGAGCGACGCGAACCAGGTCTTCCTGATCTTGGACGCGCGTCTGTTCTGCACCGAGTGGCTCCACCGCACGAGGGCCGCCGCGAACGTCGAGAGAGAGAGAGAGAAAGCGCCATCGGTCATTTCGAATGCGAGCTGTGCGATTGCGAAGGGCTGCCTCGCGGGAAAAGATGCCCATCTCGCAGGTCCGTTCTCGCTCCGCATCGACGGGCGGAAGGGGGGGCAACGCGGCGGCCCAAAACGCCCCGAGATCATTGCCATTGCGAATCAACGCTGGGCACGCACATCCACATTTAAAGATTGTCAGACAGCAGTGAGACACTTGCAAATCTAAGACCAACATAGTCGATGTCGAGTCGACGCGTCGCCCTACAAACGCGCCGCATTTGAAGCGGATGCGCGCCCTTGCCCGGCATGTCCTGATTTGGAGCCATTTGAGAGGCTCGGGGACCTAGAGTGGCGCCTTGCGGGCTGCCTCCCGCAGCAGTTCCCGGCGTTCCAGTGGAGCAGGTAGGTCGCGCCGCGCCGGCACCGCGATCGGCTCGCTGTTCGACCAGGCCCCCGCGGCCACGGAGCTCGGGGAGAGACGGCGGAGGAGGTCGACCCAAAGCGGGCGCAGCCGCAGCCAGCGCAGCAGCAGGAGGGAGAACGGCACGAGGACTCCAACGCAAGTCCAGCCGCACGGTCGACAAGGAGGAACTCGCCCAGCTGGAGTGGACGTAGAGACCTGGCGCGCGCCAGTGGCCGCCCGCGTGGAGATGGCCCTCAGATTGTCGCTTGTCGATGCGTCGACGCCAAGAGGAAGTCCCCGCGCTGGTCGTTTTCATCGGGGTCGCGAACATCGGGTTTGCGGTCGAGGCGAGGGGGCGAGTCAAGGCGTGGATCGAGAAGGCGCAAGAGCTGTGGCAGCGCGACAAGGACGAGGAGGCAGAGGACAAGCTGAACACCATCTCGCGCGCGGCACCCGTCGGCACCATCGCAGGGGCCGAAGCGGAAAGAGGTGCGGCGGGGCAGAAAAGTGCGACAGGTGTGGGCATAATGAAGATTATTGCTTGTGACTACACGACCAAGCAGGCGGCGTAAATGTTCGCGTTCTTCAACATGCAGCAGGCCTTTAAAGAGATCGAGGCGAAGATCACGGTCGTGAGCGAACTTGAGCTCGAACTGGTTTTCGCCTGCTTGGAGCAGCTCGGGGCGGCCGGGAAGATGGGCGCGGCGCCGATGAACCACCTCGAGCGCACTCAACGCGTACCTGGACGACGGCCTCTTCTAGATACGGCGGACCCCCGCGGCAGTCTCAGCAGTCGGTTCCTCGGCATGTGACTGCCTTTGACGCGCGAGCCGAGCGTGGCTGGGCACCTTGGAGCAGGGGTTCGCTACGATGACGCATGATACTACAGGCGGAGTGGGCCCCCGTGGCAGTTCCAGCTGTCGCCTCCTCGGCAGGCGACCCTACCATGCGTGGCCATCGAGAGCCGAGCACGTTGGAGCAGGGGCCCACGCGCGCGGACCGCGGCAGTGTGACTTCGTCTGACTGGGCGATGAATTTCGCCGACAGCGGCGGGCAATGTCAGACGAAGTGCGTCAGCAAGAGAAGGGTGAGCGTGGGCCGCCGCGCCGCCCCTCTAGAGCCTGACCCTCTAACTCCTCACTTCTCCTCCTCCTCCTCCTCCTCCTCCTCCTCCTCCTCCCTTCTCCTCCTCCTACTCCTCCGCCTCCTCCTCCTACGCAATGGCATTTTTCCAAAGCTTACAACAGGATGCAAGTGTGCAGCTGCAGTATGTCCCCCGAGACCGCCATGATGATGCTGGGAAACATGGTTTTTGTTCACGAGGTGATTTCATGGCCAACCGTTGCTGTGCAATCACTAAATGCACTCCAGCGGCTGACTATCGAATTGTATGGGAATGGGCTGCGTGTCCGCTGCAGGACGTGATCGCTCTACAAACGTGTACGTATGTCCCAGAAGTTCCAGAATCTCGTCCCGACATCCTTTCTTTACAATTTGGGCGCATGCCACTTTACACCATGGCATTGGGTTCGTCTGCGAGGCGTGGAAGAGCGTACGACTAGGAGAGTGATACGATATAGACGTGTTACGCTAACCGGCCCCACCAGCGAGAAATGACAATCACAGCACGCCAGATGAAGAGCCCAAGATCCCATGTGTTGTAGGAATGTTGGGAATGAACTTGCTTTTCTTGAGGCGCGCAAGTGGGTTGGACACGTGGTTCGCACCACTTCACGTGCCCCACAGCGCTTGATGGGCGAGTCAGTTGGTGTGCCTCGGCTTCGCGTACCCTCGTCATCTGGAAACATTATGTGGCTTTCAGTGCCACCCTTGACGAGTTCACGTTTGGCGGTAGGAGCATCAATTCTGTCAAGTATTGGACACAAGTTTGTTTCGCAAACTTCGGCGCGGGACGGTTAGCGGTGGGGGGAACGCGCAGACCAATGGTCGGTTCCTCCCCTCGCGGAAGAGGACCTTCTAAGTTGTCGATGGTTCCGTGGACAGGGGATGCATTGCCCCCCCCCTGCCCACACAAGAGTCAACTGGTCGGCCCCATGTGCAACGACTCCGCCAGCCGCTTATCTTCCAGGGCAGCTTGGAGAGAGCGGGCGGCGATGAGTTGGAGGAGGAGGAGGAGGAGGAGCGTCCTCCTCCTCCTCCTCCTCCTCCTACTCCTCTTCCTCCTCCTCCTCGAGTGCTCCCCCCTGCCCAGGCCGTGAAGCGGGAGAGGCAGCAGGCCAGCAGTTGGCCCGGCTTGGTGTTCGGCGGCGTGGCGGGCCCGCGCCAGCAGCCCGCGCACCACGAGCAGGCCGTGGCCCCCGCTCGGAGGATCGAGGAGCGGAGAGGATCGAGGATCGGAGCGGAGCGGAGAGTATCGGGGGGGGGGGGATCGGAGGGGATCGGAGGATTGAGTGGGAGGGGATCGAGGACCGGAGGGGATCGGGGGATCGGGGATCGGAGGGGAGGACAGGTATGAAGGAGCAGGCCGCGGCCCCGCCAGGAAGACCGCGGAGAATCGAGGATTGGAGGGCCGAGCCCTCGAGCTGCACCGTCCGCACCTTCCCGCGCTGCGGGTACCGCCGCGGCGTGGCCGCGGCGGCCGCCACTGCGCGGCACCTGCAGCGAGGAATGTGCGTCGGCATGAGAAAGGAACGGCTCGTGGAGACGGGTCCTGGAGAGGTGTTGTGTAGTTGTTGGCTTCCTCCTGCTGCCTTTCCCGAGCCCTGGAGCCATCGGAAACTGCTCAGGTTGGAAAGCCAGGATTTGAGAACAGCCGATGTGTCCAGGACCCGCTTCCACCAGGGCTAGTTTTCTTCATGGCAGCGAGGGGGGGTCGAGGATCAAGGGTCGGGGGAGAGGAGGAGGAGGAGGAGGAGGAGGAGGAGGAGGGCCAGCGTAAACCCCGGGTGCGTCAGCGACGCTGCAGTGCACCCTCCCGCCCCAAGCCCCCCGTCAGTCCCGGCAAGTACTCTTTCCATTGCGTGAGGCGCTCCTCTCGAGTGGCGAGCGCCCGGTGGGCCTGCCACTCGGGCGAGACCCTGTCACCCTCCATCCGCATGGTGGGCTCACGGGACGCAGAGAGGCACGATGATCTGAGCTCACGGAGGTCCCCGTCTTGAGAGTGATCTGGCCTCCACCCGCGCACAGGCTGCATAAGTTTCGATGCTCTGGTCACAACGCGGAGGAAGCCTCAAGTGAGAGCCCCATCTTCGAAGGGAGCCGCTGTCTACCCATGTTAATGTTACACACGTTGACACTTCTCTGAGTGACTTAGCTGAAATATCAAGCAAGAGCAGTATGTTGTGAATAGCAACCGGCCTCTACCCGCATAATGTTTGGACTTCTTGTAAGACGAATGCGTGCGGCGCCAGAGGGAGCTCCGTTTCTTGAAAACCACCAGCTCTACATATGTGCAATGTTTGGGAATATTCGGAACGAATTTACGCGGCGTTCAGACGAGAGCCGCATGTGGAAAACAATTAATGTTTCACCCTTGTAGCTGCTGGAACCTCTTACAGCGAATGCGCGCGGCGCTGAGGCGAGAGCCACATTTTGAAATCCGCGCGCGTCCCATTGTTTATTGCATCGGTTGAAAACTAGCATAACGAATGTGTGCGGCGCTCCAGCGAGAGCCGCATTTTGAAAACCACCGCCCCTGTATCCGAGTAGCTGTGGCAACCTTCTAAACGAGCGTGCGCGGGTCGCATTCTGCAAGGAGGTCTCAAGTCAAGCGGCACGAAAGGCCTGACCAACGGGAAAGTTTGTTGACGCAACAGGGGAAAGTTATTCATTAGGAGGGGATGGGGAGGAGCGTCGAGGATCTAGACGTGCAGTGTTCAGATGTGATTCGCCCTCTCTGGGCCTCCGAAAGGCTTCTCGTCACCACGGCTGGGTTCTCGCCGAAGTTATAGCGCACCGCGTGGACCAGGAGAAGTGTGGAGGCCGAGTTTTGAGGAGACAGGGTCAAGCTAGGAAGGAGCACCCTGACCCCCGCAGCCGGCGTTTACTAAACAGTCCTGCCCTGTTAGATTTCTTCCTTGGGTGCGTCTATCAAGGGTTTCGCGCGTGGGAGTGCTTGTTATGAGGGTGGTACTGAGGCCCTCTACAAGGGCATGCGGGATCAGGGTTTTGTTTCCGAAGCAAGTCCTTTGAGTGCCCTTTTGGGGGAAGACTTCCAGAGGCACGGAGCTTCCAGAGGCCTCTGAGGATTTCTTCTGGAGACCTCGGAGGCCCCCGGAGGGGGCGGGCAAAGGATGGAGGTGGGTGGATGAGGGCAGAGAAATGGGTGGTGCCTCAGTGAGAGAGGGAGGGGCGGGAAGGAAAGGGGGAAGTGGGAGGTGGGTTCTCCTTCCTCCTTCTCCTCCCTCCTCCTCGTCATTTCTCCCCCCTCATCACTCGTCTTCCGCCCTCTTCTTCCTCCCTCAACTGAAGGACCGGCCTGCGCTCTAGAAGGTGTTTCCCTCCACTGGATGTGTTTTTTGCATCCTGCTGCCGCTCAGCCTCTCGCACGCCCAGCTGCCCTGGAACCTGGCAGCCCTGCTGGGCGCCGCAGTGGCCCCTGCCAGCACCTCGCCGTGCTGCGCCACTTCGGTTGTTGGCGCTTTGCAGCTCAGCAGACCCTGGCAGGTTGTGCTTCGCAGCCCTCGGCAGCGCAGCCGCAGACCGGCAGCGGCAGCCCGGATCTCAGCAGCTCAGCATGACTTCACTGCAGCATTTTGCTACCGCGAGCTGGTCGTTGGCCCAGCCCCTGCGCCGTGCCTGCAGCAAAAGCTTGTCACCCACGGCCTTCTGACGAACACCTGGATGCCGTCCACTTCCGTGGGCTCGCTCACCGCTCCTCCTCCTCCTGTGCTGGTTCGATTTGGTCCACTCTTTCTGCGCTTGCAGCCTCTGCCTCAACCCATGGGTGTGGCCGTGATGCCGCCCCGCGTCCACTGCCAGGCTGCGCACCTGCCACTCCTGACGAAGGTCTTCGTGCTGTGTGCCCTCCCTCCTGCTCCCGCCCTCCGCGGCCGCTCTCCGGCCCGCCCCCTCTCTTGCAGCTGGACAGTGAGGGCGTGCCCGAGCCAAGCCCACTGGAGCATGCGTGCGGATCGCCTCTGCCGCGCTGCGACGAGAAGAAGTTCTGCATCCGAACGGAAGTCCGACCTCCCAAATAATGGTTTTGGACCATCTTGGAAGGCTGTGATACCGATTGCCAGGATCATCTGACGCCGTGATATTTTCCTCACTGTTGGTTCTCTTAGATTTCGGGCCCTGGAGCCATCAGGACACCATCTCTGGGCGAGGCTGCTCCCATGGAAAGGTCGAGACACTGGGTGCCCACAGGCTGGAACCGCCGCGAGCAATGAAAAGCTTGGCGGGGAAGGAGCTCGGAGGAGGAGGGTCAACAGGGCAAAAGGGAGAAGGAGGAGGAGGAAGAGGAGGAACGAAGTTTACCCCTGGACCCCTCCGGTCCAGTTTCCCGGGCTGCGCGCGGCAGGGGCAATGACCTCGATCCTCGAGCTCCGGCCATCCAGCGCTCCCACCAATTGGGGAGGCGCGCCGCGGCCTCGAGCCCCGAACGGACGCGGACGGATCTTTCCGCCGCTGCCCCCCGTCCTCGGGGCGCGAGCAAGCTGCTGCTCCTCGCCGCATAGCTTGTGGGTGGAATGCCCCTCGGGGACACTCGCTGCTTCCCTCTGGCGGCGGCGCGGGTCAGCCCGTCAGGAACCAGTCCTGCCTCTTCCGCTCGCTGGCGTCGCCGGCCGCGGCGGGTTTCTTCATCTGCGGCCGGCTCTGCGGCCGGCGAAGCCGTCGTCCTCCTCCTCCTCCTCTGCGGCCGGCTCCGGGGCCTTCTCCCTCTGCGGCGGCTTCTGGCGCGGCGCCTCCTGCCCTGCTGCCGCCGGATGCCGGCCCGTCCTCGCCCACGTCCTCGTCCTCGTCCTCCTCCTCCTCCTCCTCCTCCTCCTCCTCCTCCTCCTCCTCCTCCTCCTCGACGCTCGTCTTGCGTTGCCTCCTGGCCGTCCTCCTGGCAGCCTCCTTTGGGCTTCGTCAGCGCCTCCCTGCTGCCTCCTCGTGGCCTCGTCGTCGCTCTCCAGCCGCTGCTGCTCCTCCTCCTCCTCCTCCTCCTCCTCCTCCTCCTCCTCCTCCTGGTCGCCGCCCTCTGCGGGGCTTCCTCAGCGCCTCCCTGCTGCCTCCGCATGGCGTCGTCATTGTTTTCCTGCTGCTCCTCCTCCCCCTCTTCCCCCTCCTCCTCCTGGTCGCCCTCGCTCGCCTCGTCGCCCTCGGCGCCCGCCGCCTGTCCTTGCGCCTCACGCGACGGCCGCCGCCGCCGCCTCCACTGCCGCCGCCGCCGCCAGGCGGGCCGGGGTCGCCCCGGGCCGCGGGCGCTGCAGGCGCTGCAGAATGGCCCGCGCGTTCTCCCTGTGCAGGGAGATGGAGAGTCGCTGGGCCATCCTGTCCGCCGTGCTGGCGGCTTCCTCGCCGCGCGCGTCGGCCGCGCGCTTGGCCAGCACGGCGAAGGCGCGTCGCGCCTCGCCGCCCCAGCTCCCGCCGTGCGCCTCGACTACCATTGGGATGAAGGCGAGGTCCGCGTCACGGCAAGCCTGCGCCGTGCCCTGGTGCTGCCGCTTGTACTCCTCGTACCTGTCGAGGGCGGCGGCCGGGTCGGCGGCGGAGTGCGCGATGAGGTCCGCGCGCAGGCCGGACGTCACCGCGAAGTCCAAGGCCGCCGAGAACCCGCCGCGCCACCGGGGGACATAGACATCCGCTGGCCGGCGGCCGTCGTTGTCTAGTCCGTCGCCGTCGGGCTCCTCGGCGTTCGGCCCCTCGCCCGTTGCCCGCGGCGGCAGCAGTCCGGGCCGCTCCAGCTCCGTTCCCGAGAAGCCGGCGGTTGGGCGGCGAAGAAGGTGCCGTTCCGCAGCTTGTTGTGGCGGCGCGTGCGGTCGCCCTGGCAGGCGCACGTCAAGGCGTGGTCGCAGTGCACGTCCATGACTTCCCCGCACGCTGGGCAGAATGCTCCCTCGTCCATCAGCTGGACCCGGAGCCGTCGCTCGATCCCGATCTGCATCAGGCTGTGCGGGACCGCTGTGCCGAGCGCCTCGCAGGGGGGCGCCTGCAGGTGGCGCTGGCGCCGGGCGCGGCCACCAGGGCGAGGTGGGCGCGCGTCGCAGCCGAGGAGCGGCCCCAGAGGGCGGCGCGCGCGGCGTCGTCGACCTGGTCCGAGAGAGTCTTCTGGTTGGAGTGCGTCTCGCCACGGTTTGCCCCCGCCACGCTTGCGTTGTGGGTCTGGAGCGCCGCGGTCAGGGCCCCGGCGTCGCCCGCGTCGTCGTCTGTGTAGCCCGCGTACATGGGCCAGCAGAACTCGCTGCTCTTGGCGCGCGAGGACAGGTAGGCCGCCGGCGAGTGCTTCTCGGCGGAGCGCAGCCCCAAGCCGCCCTTGTTCAGTTTCAGCTGCGCTTGGGCCCAGGAGTCGTCGGCGAGGGAAGCGCCGGCCAGCTGTTCCAGGCAGGAGCGCACTGCAGCGCCCATCTCCAGGAGAGCCTCGGTGTGGGCGGAGGGCGGCACCACGCGCGCCGAGTAGCCGAGCTTGCAGTAGGAGGCACACTGCCGGAGAAGGTGAAGGGCTACCTGCGCGTCCTCCAAGCCGGCCAGTGCGTCCAGGAGCTCCGCTGCCTTCTTCACTCGTTTCTGCGCGTGCTGGAAGCAGAAATCGTCGCTCCCGACGGGCGCGCCGAGGAGCTCAAAGCAGCCGTCGGAGCGCAGTCGGAAGCCCGGTGGGAAATCCGCCGCGGACGCGTTGCTGTCCGCCCTCGCTGCAGGGACCACCTCGCACTTGCCCGGCCCCGTGCTGAGGTCGAGGCCGACTGCTGCGAGCTCGGCCACGACGAGGTGCAGGAAGCGCGCCGCGGCCTGTCTGTCACCCGCCGCGCAGCCGTCGTCCAGGTAGAAAAAGACGAGGTCCAGGCCAGCGTCCTGGGCAAGCTCCCTGAGGCTGCGGCTCGCCGTCTCCGCGCAGCGTTGGAGTGCCAGGGAGAACAGAAGCGGGCCGAGCGGGTCGCCCTGCTGGACGCCGCACTCGGAGCGCAGCGTCTGCTTGCCGAGGAAGAGCAGCGAGGGGCTGCCGTAGAACCGGTCCGCCCAAGGTGCCAGCGCGGGAAAGTCCTCGTGCACTGCTCTGAGGGCGACCCTCCGGTCCAGGGTGTTGAAAGCGCTCGAGAGGTCCAACTTCACGAAAACTTTGTCCCTGTCGCCCAGGTTGCGCGTGAACCACTGCCTGGCCACGTGGATCGCCGCCTCGGCGCCTCCCGGGACGGCCGCGCCTACCTGCAGGGGCGCCAGGCGGTCGCGGGCAGCCTCGGCGACCTCCTTGCAGAGGCACTTGCCCACCAGGCGGCGAAGTGTCTCGCCGACGGCCACCGGGCGGAGGCCGCCGTCGTTCTTCGGGAGAGCCACCAGTGTGGCGCCAGCAAAGTAAGCCGCGACCGCCGCCGGAGCCTGGCCGCGCGCGAGCACGTTGACGAGACCAGCGAGCTGCTCGACGACCTCGTCTTTGTGGGCTGCCGTCGCCAGGGCGTCCTGCAGGTGTTGCGGGCGCAGGCCAGTGGGGCCGGCGGCCGAGCCCTTGGGGAAGGCCCGCACTTCCTTTTGGGCGACAGAGACGTCGACCTGGGCTGCGGCGGCCGCAGGCAGGCTAGCCAGGTCCACAGCCGGCTGCTGGCTGCGGGGGCGTTTGCGGCCCATCTGGTCCACGACGGCCGGCGTGACGGACACGGGCGGCTCCGACGTCAGCGAAGCGCAGCTTTTCGAGTAAAGCCCCTCCGAAGCCAAGTCGAGGCAGCGCTGTGCTCGTTGAGTCGCCTTGTCCGTTCCCCCTGTCTGGCGCCGCTCCGTAGTCTCCGCCTACAGCGTCTGGCGCTCTCCCTCCAGCCAGCGGCGGCAGAGGTTCTTGGCTTCCTGCTCGCTGGCGTTCCGGCTGCCTCGGCCTCCGCGGTTGTGCGGTCGCAGCACGCACTTGGGCAGCATGGCCAGTTGGACCCAAGCTGCTTCGGTGTTGTGGTGGGCCGCCAACGCCGCGGCCTGCACCAAGCACTGTGCCCACAACGCCCTGGCCCCCTGCGCCTCGTGCCGGCGCGGCTGGAGAAGACCGCCCGCAGCGAGGGGAGCCCTGGCTGGCCGTTCGCGTCGCCAGCGCCGGCAGGAAGGGCCCGGGGAGCCGCGGCGGCAGCTGCGCGCGCCGCTGGCCGGCACCTGGGGCACACTCCCTGGTAGCGGAGACTCAGGAACCGCTGACACACCGAGCATTGGCCGAGGGCGTGCTGGTCAAGGAACTCCTGCGGGACGGGCGGCAGGTTGGGGTAGCGGCCCGCCGCGTGCTCGTTCAAGTCGACCCTCATGCCCTCCTGGCAGGACCACCCTGGCGAGGCGGCAGGATCCGCGCGCGGGCAACCGGGCGCCAGGCAGTAGACGCGGGGCCGCCGTCGGGCTGCAGGGCGGGGCGCGGCGGGGGGGCTCCGCGGCCGGCGGCGGCGCGGCAGCAACGGCTGGCTCCGCAGCGTGCCGGGCCCCCCCCTCTGCCGGCATGGCCAGAGGCTGCTGGGCGCCCGCGGGGGCAGCTCCTTCCAGCGCTGCTCGCCGACGTTGCTCGGCCAGCGGCACGCCCGCATCCTGGTCCATGTCTCGCGCGTCGCCCAGGCGCATGCTGTTGATTCGCTCGTGGAGGAGGGGGTCGTCGCCGGGCTCGTCGCCTTCCGCGCGGTTCCGTCTGAGCGCGCGGCGTCCTGGAGAAGCGCGGGCGCCGACCTCCACGAAGGTGTTCCTGACCGACACCGCGGCTTCCGCCCCCATCTGCGCGGGGCCCGGACTCGATGCACTTGCCGACCCTGGCGGCGGAACTGGCGGCGCCACTCGTCGAGGCGAGGTGGAGCGGTCGCGCTCCGGAGGTTATGTTCGATTCCCGCTCCTCGGCGGCAAATGCAGCGCTGGCGCTCGAAGAGGCGCGTGTCGCACACGTCGGCATTGGGGCCTGCGGGGAAAGCTGGGGGCTGCACGGCGTGGGCGAGCAAGGCAATGTGTCCTACCCATGCCGCTGGCGAAGACAAATATGTGGAATACCATCCTGGGCTCAATGCAACTGCCATAAAGGTCGCAATGGAAATGCACACAACCCGTGGAAAATGGACATCGCCAAGTAGAGCGGCGCCGCAAACTCCGGCCAGGACGCGCTGCAGAGGAACCCCGTGCACCGCCGCCCCGAAGGTCAAGAACTTCACTGGGACTGCGGACGCGCAGGAGGCCGCCAGGACCAAGGCTGGGTCGACCGCGCGGGGGATCGTCTGGACTCCTCGCCGCCGCTGCCCCTCGTCCTCGGGGGTCACGCAAGGTGTTGCTCCTCCTCCGCATCGAGGATCGATGAGTAGGAAGCTACCGCTGCTGCTGCTGCTCCTCCTTGTCATCACTAGACTATCCTCGGGGCGGGCTTGGAGTTTCGCCTGAGACTTTTCTCCGGTCATGATATTGAAGCCAGGAATTGCGACACTCACACGGATAGGGTAGCGAATCGTTTGTTTACAAGTTGTGTTCTCACCTTGACGCCGAGCGCACTTGCCTGAAACATTATTAAACAATTGCACCGTCACACGAATGGAGGACGGGTGGTTTTCAAAATGTGGCTATCGACTTGGCGCCGCGCACACTCGTTTTAAAACATTCAGCATCTATGCGGACGGAGTGCTTCTCATTTTCGAAAGGGGCTCTTGCTTTGGCGCCGCGCACTCTCTTCTTTATACGTTCGAACAGTTACATTGATGAAGTTCTCGCCTGAAGCGGCTCCATGATCCTCACATCTCATCACTGCGAGCACAACATTGTGCAGCAGTTACACGTATGATGGGCGGCTGCTGTGTAACATGAGCATATATCATGAGGCTCCGTTCCTGTTATTGCCAGAAGTGTAAAGCTGTGCCACAGTTGCGCGGGTGGCGGGCGGCTCCTTTTCAAAGTGTGGCACTTTGTAGCGTTTCTTACGGGTCGAACGATGGATGCTAACTTCTTTCAAAGCGGAGCTCCCGCCTGACTTGCGGGCCCATGACGCGCTCCTCTTTCAAGAAGGGCGCCTCGCTCCATGAAGAAGATTGCATGCAGGGTCAAATGGCTAAGAAGGGGCGGGTTCGGGACAGGAAAACATATTGCAGCATCGTTGGAACATCTTTGGTTCGCTCTGTGGTGAGGACCAGGACCACATCCCCATCCCCCCCCTGTAGTGAGGACCAGGAGCACATGGGGCAGGCGTGCCTGACGATCCTGCGGCACTGGGTTCCCCGCTCGCGACGCATCCCTCCCCGCCCGAGTCGTCCGTCGTCGTCGTCGTCGTCCGTCGTCGTCGTCGTCGTCGTCCGTCGTCGTCGTCGTCGTCCGTCGTCGTCGTCGTCGTCGTCGTCGTCGTCGTCGTCGTCGTCGTCGTCGTCGTCGTCCGTCGTCTGTCGTCCGTCGTCGTCATCTTCTATCGTCGTCGTCGTCTTCGTCGTCGTCGTTTTCGTCGTCGTCCGTCGTCGTCGTCGTCGTCGTCCGTCGTCCGTCGTCGTCGTCGTCGTCGTCCGTCGTCCGTCGTCCGTCGTCGTCGTCCGTCGTCGTCGTCTTCCGTCGTCGTTGTCGTCGGCCGTCGGCCGTCGTCGTCGTCGTCGTCGTCGTCGTCCGTCGTTGTCGTCGTCGTCCGTCCGTCCGTCCGTCGTCGTCGTCGTCGTCCGTCGTCGTCGTCGTGTCGTCGTCGTCCGTCGTCGTCATCGTCGTCGTCGTCGTCGTCCGTCGTCGTCGTCCGCCGTCGTCGTCGTCGTCCGTGGTCCGTCGTCGTCCGTCGTTCGTCGTCGTCGCTGTCGTCCGTCGTCTATCGTCGTCGTCGTCGTCGTCGTCGTCGTGTCGTCGTCGTCGTCGTCGTCGTCCGTCGTCGTCCGTCGTCGTCCGTCGTCGTCGTCGTCGTCGTCGTCGTCGTGTCGTCGTCGTCCGTCGTCGTCGTCGTCGCCCGTCGTCCGTCGTCGTCGTCCGTCGTCGTCCGTCGCCCGTCGTCGTCCGTCGTCGTCCGCGTCGTCGTCGTCGTCGCCTCGTCGTCGTCCGTCGTAGTCGTCAATCGTCCGTCGTCGTCGTCGTCGTCGTCTTCGTCGTCGTCGTTCGTCGTCTGTCGTCCGTCGTCGTCGTCGTCTTCTATCGTCGTCGTCGTCCTCGTCGTCGTCGTCGTCCTCCGTCGTCGTCGTCGTCGTCGTCGTCGTCGTCCGTCGTCTGTAGTCCGTCGTCGTCGTCTTCTTTCGTCGTCGTCTTCGTCGTCGTCGTCTTCGTCGTCGTCGTCGTCGTCGTCGTCGTCCGTCGTCCGTCGTCGTCGTCGTCGTCCGTCGTCCGTCGTCCGTCGTCGTCGTCCGTCGTTGTCCGTCGTCGTCCGTCGTCGTTGTCGTCGTCGTCGTCCGTCGTCGTCGTCGTCTCGTCGTCGTCGTCGTCGTCGTCGTCGTCGTCGTCGTCCGTCGTCGTTGTTGTCCCTCGGCCGTCGTCGTCGTCGTCGTCGTCGTCGTCGTCGTCGTCGTCGTCGTCGTCGTCGTCGTCGTCGTCGTCGTCGTCGTCGTCGTCCGTCCGTCCGTCGTCGTCGTCGTCCGTCGTCGTCGTCGTGTCGTCGTCGTCCGTCGTCGTCATCGTCGTCGCCGTCGTCGTCCGTCATCGTCGTCCGCCGTCGTTGTCGTCGTCTTCGTCGTCCGTCGTCCGTCGTCCGTCGTCGTCGTTGTCCGTCGTCATCCGCGTCGTTGTCGTCCGTCGTCCATCGTCGTCGTCGTCGTGTCGTGGTCGTCGTCGTCCGTCGTCGTCGGTCGTCGTCCGTCGTCGTCGTCGTCGTCGTCGTCGTCGTCGTCGTCGTCGTCGTCGTCTCGTCGTCGTCCGTCGTCGTCGTCGTCGTCCGTCGTCCGTCGTCGTCGTCCGTCCGTCGTCCGTCGCCCGTCGTCGTCGTCCGTCGTCGTCCGCGTCGTCGTCGTCGTCGCCTCGTCGTCGTCCGTCGTCGTCGTCAGTCGTGCGTCGTCGTCGTCGTCGTCGTCGTCGTTCGTCGTCTGTCTTCCGTCGTCGTCGTCCGTCGTCTTCTATCGTAGTCCGTCGTCTTCGTCGTCGTCGTCGTCGTCCGTCGTCGTCGTCGTCGTCCGTCGTCCGTCGTCGTCGTCGTCGTCGTCGTCGTCCGTCGTCCGTCGTCGTCGTCGTCGTCGTCTTCCGTCGTCGTCCGTCGTCGTTATCGTCGTCGTCGTCCGTCGTCGTCGTCTCGTCGTCGTCCGTCGTCGTCGTCGTCGTCCGTCGTCGTCGTCGTCGCCCTCATCCGTCGTCGTCGTCGTCTGTCGGCCGTCGTCGTCGTCGTCGTCGTCGTCGTCGTCGTCCGCCGTTGTCGTCGTCGTCGTCCGTCCGTCCGTCGTCGTCGTCGTCGTAGTCCGTCGTCTTCGTCGTGTCGTCGTCGTCCGTCGTCGTCGTCATCGTCGTCGTCGTCGTCGTAGTCGTCTTCTGTCATCGTCGTCGGCGTCTTCGTCGTCCGTCGTCCGACGTCCGCCGTCGTCCGTCATCCGTTTTCGTCGTCGTCGTCCGTCGTCCGTCGTCGTCGTCGTCGGCGTCGTGTCGTCGTCGTCGTCGTTGTCTATCGACGTCCGTCGTCGTCGTCGTCGTCGTCGTCGTCGTCGTCGTCGTCGTCCGTCGTCTGTCGTCCGTCGTCGTCGTCGTCTTCTATCGTCGTCGTCGTCGTCCGTCGTGCTGTCGTCGTCGTCGTCGTCGTCGTCGTCCGTCGTCCGTCGTCGTCGTCGTCGTCGTC